TACCATTTTTTATGGTGAGAATATTTGTAATATTTTCATTGCAATTTTGAAATATATGTTATTATAATCTCCACTGTGTGCAATCAATCTCGAAAACCTTATTTGTCCTATATATATAAAACACTGTACCATTTGGCCAACATCTCCCCGTTCTCTCCATCACCCAGTATCTGGTAACTCCCATTCTACTCTCTGCTCCTAGAACGTCCTCTTTTTCAGATTTCACACATGATTGAGATTATATAAAATTTGTCTTTCTGTTTCTGGCTTTTTTCACTAAGCATAATATCCTCCAGATTCTTTCCCATTGCTGGAAATGATATACTTGGCTTTTTTTTTTTAAGGCTAAATAGTATTTAATTGTGCACATATATCATATTTTCTTTATCTATTACTTCCAGCTCTTGGTAACTACCATTCTATTTTCACCTTCTCTGAGTTCAAATTCTTCAGATCTTGCATATGCAGTATTTGTCCTTCTGTGCCTAGCTTATTTCTCTTAGCATAATGTCCTCCAGGTTCATCTGTGTTGTCACAAATGCAGGATTCCCTTCTTTTTCAAAGGCTGAATATATTCCATTGCATATATATACCACATTCCCTTTATCCATTCATTCACTGATGGACACTTAGGTTGAGGCTATATCTTGGTTATTTTGAATAATGTTGCAATGAACATGTGAGTGCAGATATTTCTTCAACATATCGATTTCAAATACTTTGCATATATTCAAAGTGTAATTTCTGGATTAAATGCCAGTTGTATTTTTGTTGAAGAATCTCCATACGGTTTTTGTAATAGCTATACTGATTTATATCCCCACCAACACTGTAAAATGATTTCCTTTCTCCACATCTTCATCAACATTTGTTAAATTTTGTCTTTGCTATTCTGACAAGTGTGAGGTAAAATATCTCACTGTGATTTTAATTTGTATTTCCATAATGACTGGTGATGTGAAACACATGTTTATAAATCTGTTGTTTATTTGTATTTCTTCTTTTGAGAAATGTTTATGCAGGTTCTTTGCCCATTTTTAAATTGGATTATTTGTTTCTTTCTATTGTGTTACTGAAATTTAATATATATTTTTTATGTTAATCCCTTATCAAGTGTATCGCTTGAAAATATTTTCCCTTTATTATGTGTTAAACTTCTTCCATTACTGTGTAGAAGCTAGTTTGATGCTATCCCACTTGTCTTTTTTTCCTTTTTAATTTATTTTTTATTTGATCCATGATAATTGTATGTATTTATAAAATACAACATTATGCTTGGGTACATTTATACAGTGTGCAAGGATCATATCGGGTACTTAGCATAGCCATCACTTTAATCATTTGTCACCTCTTTGTGCTGGCAACATTTTGTCTACTTTTTGCTTTTGTTGCCTAATAAATATTTACTTTATATAGCCAAATATGAAGATACACTTAAGAGTTGACATTATTTAATACTTAGGGTAAACAATTAGGGTTCATTTTTTCGAATTGTCACTCATGACCATTTATTCAGAAAAATATATGAGAAGTAGCACATCTGGTGAGAAAGCAATAAGACAATCTATATGTAAATGCAGCCACAAGGTTTTATGCCCTGAAAGTGGATAATTAATGGAATTGCTAAAAAGTGATAACCTTAGTCAAAGGAGACACAGAGTGCTTTTCCCGCAAAATAACAGGAAATAGCTCTATTGTAAAAAAAAATTGTCTGTAACCACTGCTTTGTTAGTTCTCATTCTATGGACTTGTTGCTATGTTTTTTTCCCACATAAACTGCAGAATAAGTTTGACTCCATATGTACATTATATAATAATTTTTGTACATTTTAATTTTTGTTTAATTTAAAAGTAATTAAGTTGATTTAATATGCACCATATTATTTAAATATTTATTCCTTATTTCCTTGAGTGAGATTAGATAATGAGTCCTATAAGATATCTCTGTACTTAATTTATTAAGGTTTCTCTAAGGCAGTATTGATATTGTTAAGTTTTTGGTGAATCGTAAGCACATCTAGTAAATATTGATTACCAGCAAATATCTTGAATAATATGAATTCATTAAAATGAGTGTTTCTTAAAACTTCTGAAACATTTTTGAAGGATGAGTAGAAAGAGTAACATAAAACAAAGAATTATGTTATAAGATTGATTATAATATCAGGTCTTAATAGGTGGATATGCATTCGAAAGTCTAATATATAAAATGGAGATATGAATTATATTTTATATAAATTTGAATTTTACTCAGTGAAATTGAGATAATGCTGAAATGTGTCTTTATAATTTTCCTGAATAAAAGTTTTGTAATATTCCTTTCCTCACAACCTCTTTTCCCTGTTTCTAAAACTATAAATGATTGGATTCAAGAATGGAGAAGATATGATATAAAATACAGGAAAACTTATTTTGAATAAAAAAATAAGTTAAACAAATAATTTCAGAGGTTACTGAAGGCCTTAGATATACATAGTAGAAATGAGAGACAAACACATCGATTATGTGAAGGACATGGGTGGAAAAGGCCTTTTCTTGCTCTCTGGTTGGAAATTTGAGTACAGTAGAAAATATGCAAATATATAACATGATCACTAAGATAAAAAAGCCACCAGAAACCCCTATGACAGAGGCAAGAAGTAAGAGCATATTACTGAAGGTATCAGGGACTGAGATGCTCAGCAGAGAGTGCATATTGCAGAAGAACTGATGAACCAGGGACAGCTGGAAGGTGTTGCCAGTTTGCACACCTGCATAGATGAGACCATCAGGGAAGACAAAGTCATCCAGACATATATTGAAATATAACAATGTACTTCATAAATGCATACAATGTGTCAATTAAAAATAAATAAATAGATAAATTGAAATATGTTGTCAATGGGTTCATTAATTCCAAATTTACTAAGGTTTTAGCTCATACTCATACGTAGGGTGTTTTTTAGAACATATAGAAAGTAAATATGTCATTTAGAATAGTCTGCCACACTTTTATTAACTTAAAGATTACTAAAGATCATGCTCATTTTTTTTTTGCATCTGCATAGAGTTCATTAAGAGAATAGACAAAAATGTTTTACCTGATCTTGTTGATGCATATTTGGACTTCTTAGAGATGAATAACATTGTGTGTAATTCAGACTGCACATATGTGAGTTATCTTTAGGATGCATTCATGGAAGTGTTTGGTGAGTAAATTTGTGCATGTGATATTGAACTAATTCATGCTTTTCTTGACAAAGTATGAAAGTACCAATTTGGACACATGCTAGCTAATGCAGTTTCACAAACCGACCTATCATATACAGCCACTGAATATCATTATTATTTCAATTTTATTTTTATCTGATAAAGAAGATTTTTCTATCCTTGTTCAATAAAATCTCAAGTCTTCAATTACATGAGTGACTACTATCTTTCCTTCTACTATTTTCTTTTTTCTTTTCTTTTTTTTTATCTAATACCCTCCTTTAGACCTGGACTTCTCTCCATATTCAGCTTAAATCCCATGTTCCATCTTTATGATTCTGTCTGTCATACAGTCTCATCTACCTATTGCAAATTTCTCTTCTTCCTCACAAATTTTTAGCATTGGAGTTTCCCAGAGGTAAGTATTTTTTTTTTCTTTTACTGCTAGACTAACTCTTGTTAATCTCATACACTCTCTGTGTATGTGTGTAAGTTTTCTTACTATCACTATGCCATTAACTACAAGATTTACATATTCCTTCCAAAGCTCCCTTTTGAACTTCAGCTTTGTGCATCCAACAACCTAATTCAATTTTGCAATTGAGTGTATAATAAACATCTCAGTTTTCCAAGACCAGGCTCTTTATTCTGCCCACCCCTCAAATGTTCCCTCCATCGCTCATATAATGGAAACTGCAACCTCTCACACCCTAGATTCTCATCTCCTTTCCATCTATTGGCAAAAAATGCAGCCAGTGTCCTGTCTATTCAAATCGAGACTGGAAACTCATCTTCTGCTCACAATTATGCAGAGACTCACATTACACTCAGAGTTCTCACAGTGGTCTATAAAGACAGAAAACGTCTAGTGTGCTATGTTCATTTCTTCTTAGATCTGATCTCTAACTGCTTTTTCTTTGATCAGTCCACACCTTTTGTCTACTTGCCTCGCTATCTTCAAACAGACTGTGGATGTAGCATCTTAAGGTCTTTGTATGAATACTCCATTTGCCCAGAGTGTCCTCTCTACAGATGTTTGCACAGCCTACAATTTCCCTTTCCTGAATTTTCTGCTTAAATGTCACCTGACCTAGGGACCTGACTCATTCAAAACTATAATCCCCTAAGTACTCCCAAATCAGTTTCTTGTGCAGATCTTACATTTTGTGTTTTTCCCATAGTGTTTTAATTTTTAACACAATATATAGCTCAGTTTATGTCCATCTATCCCTGGCAGAATGTCAGCTGTCCACGGTCAGAAATTTTGTGTGTTTTGTTCACTGATGTATCCCAAGTACTTCAAATCATCCTTGATTTTAGTTGGAAAATCAGTACATATTGTTGAATAAAGAGTCATTTAAGTCAATGCTCATTTTTTTATAATTTTGAAAAATTACTCACATATTACTTATATATATATATATATATATATATTTATACACATATATATGTTTTCTAATTGACATTAAGTGGAGAAAAATGAATGTAAAAAGGAATTATAGAGAAATTTGATTTGAGCAAAATAGGAGAGAAAACGGAATTGGTGGGAAATTAAGGAAATTGGAAGATGAGAAAGAGGAATTATGAAAGAAAGCATTATGTTAAGAAAATAAACAATAGGATTTGTAGAAGATGTTACATGGAAATTAAAGTGGTTGGAAGAATTTTAATTGGCTTCTGTAGGCTTTAGCAAATTCAGCAGGTGGCAGAGCCAAAATATATGATCTTAAAATATTTTAGCATGGCAGACTTTATATCCTTGTTTCTTAATCTGTAGATAATAGTGTACAGGGTAAGGGGAACTACCATACAGAACACAGACACAAGCAGGTCAAAAACAGAGAGAACATCTTCAGCTGGCATCAAGTAGGCCATCGCCGCAGCACCCAGAAAAACAGTCATGACAACCAGGTGAGGAACACAGGTGGAGAAGGCTTTGGAATGACCCACAGTAGACGGTATTTTCAGCACTTTTGAGAAGATGTGGATATATGAGAAAGCAATGAAGACAAAGTAGATAAAGCTCAGTGAGGAGGTGATGGCAACTGCTCCGACTTCAGCCAAGTACTCATTTGAATAAGAGAGTCTGAGTAACTTAGGGATCTAGTAGAAGAATTGATGCACCAGAATAGATGTCCTGGGGGGTGAGGAGAAGGTTGTGGCTCTGTGCAGGATTCCAGACACTCCACCATGGAGCCAAGAATAAGTGGCCATCTTGATGCAGGTAGCCCTCTTCATGATGACCTCACAGTGCAAAGGATGGCAGATGGCCACATAGTGATCATAGGGCATCACTATAAGCAAAGCCATCTCTGTGCAGGCCAAAGAAACCACAAGGAAGACCTGAAGGATGCATCCCCAGAGAGAGAAGGAGCTATTATTCATCAAGTGGCCTTGGGGACGGTGACAAAGATACAGTAGAGGTTTAAGAAGGACAAGTGTTTGAGAAAGAAGTATATGTGATTATGGAAGCTGTGGACAGACATGGAAATAATAGTTATAAGGAGATTGTCAGTGAGATCCACTAGAAGAACTAAAAAACTATCATATAAGACACAAGCTGCTGCTACCAAACCTCAGAAAATCCTGTGAATTGAGATGTGTGATTTGACAGATTTTCTCTGGGATGGGAAAGAAGACAGTTTTATAGATAGAGATCCTAGCGTACTGAAAGTATTTCTCTTGTAACCTCTAATTTATCTATTCTTGCTAGGATGGATAAGTGAGCTTATATCTCTCATATTTTTCACTGTGTTCCTGGGTACATTAGAGTGAAATCGTGGTATGAGCAAATCTAGTTTTTAAACTACTAATTGAACTTCTTTACCTGCTTTTCTGACTATTTAATATCTCCTGTAGGTGGTCTCTTTTGCCATATTATCCTTAGCTACTCACCATCCCAGAGCCTTTCCAAAAGAAAAAAAAAAAATTTATCTATCTAGCCAAGGGGAAAAGGAACAAAGAATCTATCTATACAGCCACCAAAATGCTGGCCACTTTGGTCTCTAAATCACAGGGCCTGTCAGAGTGGCACACTCAGAGGTCGGCTTTATCAGTGAGCACATGGGTCACTGCATGGTTCCAATTCACTCACAGGCTCAGTAAATGAACACTGTGCAACATGTTTCATAGCCTTTGCGAATCACTACAATAAGAATGACTAAGCACTTAATTTTATTTGCAAGAACAATGAGAGGAGGAATTTTTTCCAGAGGCATAAGTCAATACCTTACCAATCACTATGAAATGGATTAGCATGAAGGTCGATCCTACGTTACTGAAATTTTTTTTGAAAAGGTAGATTTTACCTATTACATTTGCCACTGTAAAACCAAATAAGAAAAAAAAAAGTCTGAGGCTGAAGAAAAATATTAAATTAACTAAAAAGAACACCAAATATAACCATCAAACAGAAAGATATATGTTGAAAGAAGGTTACATGGTAATCAAGTAGAGATCATTCTCCTCTGTCTCTTTTTCTAATTCCAGCAGGTGGTGGTGACCATGTCCAGTACTCCCCACGGTATTATGAAAATTCCAACTTACGTGTATTGAGTAGTACATGTGTTGGTCATCGTGATGTAACACTTAAATATCAGACAAGTCTTGGACTGGCTGTAAACTTTGCCACTTCTCACAAGTTTTTTTTTCCCTAAAAAAGATAAAATTGCCCCTGAGTGGTTGGGAAAAATTTTGGAAGTGTATAAAGCACTGTAAAAAAAAAACCAAACCAAATATCTAAGGAAAGAGTCCAACAGAAAAGTTAGTAAACTTCTTTTCTCTACCGACAATGTTCCAAATATAGATCAAAACTTCATTTGGACTTCTTTCCCTTCTAATCTTTGTGACAAAAATGATAAGGAAATAAATAAAGAAAATACGGTGTAAAAATAGGAGCCCAAGAGAGGCCCCAGTGGGACACATGCTGATTAGCCCCAGAACATGTAAGGAGAGAATAAGGAATATCACCTATGGCAGAACTCTGATTAGTCTTGGCATTTGCGACTGCAGCTCAAATGCTGGAAATATTTTCTCTCTTGACCTCTGAGGCACCCAGATTTGTCACTCTCAGGCAGATTTCTTTCTGTTTACCACCAAAGAGACCTTCAAACAGTCAGTCTGTTAACTTGTAACTGTTTTCTTAGTGATTATTGTAATTAACTGTATCAACCTAATCACTTTGTCCTCTTTTTAGTTCAAGGTATAATGCAATTTAAAAAAACACACATGGAAAATAAAAGAAGTGTTTATAATAAGACAAAAGAACACTCTAAAAATCACAAAACATTAAAAATGTCTAAAAGAGTTGCTGAACAGAGAACATCATATATTTTACACAGCATAATAAGTTATGTCTTACATTTACCCAGAAAAATGAATTCATGAAAATTTTAAATCTTGTTATAGTCTGTATAAAATAGACACAACTTAACCAGATGATTCAGAAAGTTTAAAACAAAAGTAGTGGAAAAAAACATGTTGAGATTACAATACAGTAGATGATGGCTCCGTGGTTGCATAGTCTGTGATCTTTACCTTGTCTATATCAATATCTGTAGGCATGATAGTAGATATGATGATTTGTTTATCTATCTGTCCATCTATCTGTCAGCAGTCTCCCTAGAAATACAATCAATTGAGTTTATGTAAATATGGATTGTTAGATGTAGATATATAGATATAAATATACATATAGATATAGATTGATAGATATAGATACATATTGAGACAGAGATAGCCATAGTGGTAGAGACAGTGATGGAGCTGGAGATGGAGACAGAGACAGAGATAGAGATAGAGATGGAAATGGTAGGAGGTTGACTAAAAGGTACAAAGTTTCAGTTATGCAAGATGATTAAGTTCTACAGATCTGATGTACGGCATGGTGATGACAGTGAAAAATACTGTATTTGTACTTAAAATCTGATGAGTGAATCCATCTTAAATTAAGTCACTGGCCCAGTCTTACATATACACAAACGTTAATCATGCAGAAATGACAGATATGTTAATTACTTTCAATCTGGTGATTATTCCACAATGTTATGTATTGCATAATATCAAGTTTTATATCTTAAATATGTATAACATTTATATCAATGATATCTCAACAAATCTATTTTTAAAAAGTTCTAAGTTAAAAATGAAAAATATAATATATATAAAATGTAATACATAGGTAGTCAAAATAAAAATCTTGACAGAAATAGAAATTTATCATTACCATGAACTTATCCAAAGAATAAAAGGGTAGTTAAATATATATATATATATATATATATATAAATCAGTGTATGTAATCCATAAGATTAATAGAAAGAAGATGAAGGGGGTTAGAAATCTTGATTCTCATTTGATTTTTAGAATAGGGTTTTCAGGTAATGCATGTATGGGGCAAAAGTCCTCGATTAAGGGACAAACATCCACAGCCAGTGGGCAAAAGCCTGTCTAATCAATTCTAATCAAGTATATGTCGATTCTCATTTGATTTTAGTATAGAGTTTTTAAGTAATACATGTATGGGGCGAAAGTCCCCAGTCGGGGGACAAAAGCTCACAGCGGGCCGAGCAACAGCTCATCTAATCAACTCTGATCATTGTGTAAGTATGGGATTGTATACTTTAATGATTTTGAGCTAAAAGGTGGTTGACCTACCGATTGTATTAAGAGATTTTAAAGAATTGCTGTAGGGAAAAATGTGAAAAAAGTTTGCTATGGGCAAGCTGTTTGTTGGTGGAAACTTTAGAGACAATTAGATTTAATTATAAGAATGTGACTTTTGCTTAAATCATTTGAGGAGAGGTTATATTTTAGGTAATGATCACAGTTTGATCAGCTTAGCTTTTTACAAATTGCAATTTGGAATGTCATGTTGCTAATTTTAATGATGTTACTAGTTTCCATTGTTCAAGCTGTACTTAGCCATAGATAACTTGTCACCTTGCCCTTGTCTTTGTGTCTTTTTGAAATGATTGAACCAACTGATTTTTCTTGTAAAACTTCCTTGTCTTTACAATAAAAACTGAAGCTAACTGAATCGGGGCTAAACCCAGTTTTCTCCTTCTAACAGAGGAGTTGCTGAGGTGCAGTCCTTCAGGCTTCTCTTTGCATTCATGTTGCTTTGAGTAATCCTTTTCTGTGTCTCTGTTACACAGCAAGTGTACCAAGAAGAAAAGAAAAAAGACACATGGTTATCACAATAGACGGGAAAAGCATTTAATGAATTCAATATTCTTTCATTATGAAAACAGCACACAACAGGAATTAAGGAGAACTACCTTAGTATGATATAGGACATTTAACAAAAACAAACAAACAACAACAAGAACAACAAAACATAGTTAATAAGGTACTCAATGGTGAAATTCTGGGAGCTTTCCCAGTAGGAGCTGAAAAAAGACAACATCTACTTTCACCAGTGCAATTCTTCATTAGGCAATATGAAAGAAAAAAAAAGGCGCATAAACTGGAAATGAATTCAAACTAACTCTATTCCTGGATGACATGATACTATAAACAAATAACACAAATAATTCAAAAAGAACCTATTAGAGCTAATAAACAAATTCAGCAATGTTGCAGGAATAATATCAACGTACACATACCTCTCACACATAAGCCAATTATGATTCTATACACTGGCAGTAAACACTCTAATTTTTTAAAAGATTTCATTTACATTAGCAGCAAAAATAATAAAATGTTCAGAAACAAATTTAACCAAGGTGGTTATAGAGCTAGAGCTAGGGTCTGGAGCTCACAGATCCCTTGAACCCATTCACAAAACCTTCATATGCAGGTATACAAGCTAGGTAACACAAAAAGGTCCTTGGAGCCTTGGTTAAAGAAAGAATAGTATTTATTCAGCACACACACGTCTAAGAGCTATGCAGTCCAAAAAGAAACTGAACAGCTGCCAGCAAAATCCAAAGAAAAACTGAGCAGCTGCCAGCAAAGTAAATATGCTCTGTTTTCAGACAAGAGCTCTGCTGAACCACTGCTCACATACTCTGAAGAACACAAGAATAGGAATAAGCTAAAAGTACCTACGCTCGCGTGTGCACTAACTCCACTCCCACACAACTTGTTTACAAAGAATTTCCTGCACCACCCCCAACCAGAACTGAGGTAAGGGGGCCTGACTAAACTAATCTATTTTCCTCACAATCCACCCCTTCAGGATGCCTCGCCATAAAATCTATGCATTGACAATCTTCACAATGTTCCCTTAGAGGGGATAAATAAACCTTACATTCATATAACCTATTGTCTGCTTAATATGCCTTCAGGTCTGTCCTTAAGGCTTGTCCTGTAGTTCTGTCCTTTCAACTGATAGCTGCACATGTCCAGTTAGTAGTCATCATTCGTGTAATTTTCCATGGTAATCCTGCAGTCGTACTGAAGGGAAGTTCAATGCATATTCAGTAGGCTGACACACTGATCACGTGACTGGGGTGCGGTGCCTGCAGCCA